ACTGAACCATTGTTTTTGGCATTTAATATTCGAATAAAGAATCAATTTTTCATCACCATTGACAATTCTGTCCAAAAATGGATTGCGCTCCAGAAGTGGTTCACACGCATTATGGGCCAGAAAAGACGAAGCAACCTCACACGTTGGAAGGGGGGTCTCGTCGTGTGCCATCACTATAAGGGATTAGAGTATACTAAACTTTACACATTATATAAGCTACACTAATGTGACATTTAGGCGGTTCATTTAACTATTATACGCGATGTACGTTTTTCTGGGGATGGTTAATGAAAGTGTTCCAAAACACGACATTAATTTCTTGACTACCTAATATAACAAGAATTATACACTAACTTAAATGTACCATACTTCTACGAGAGTGAATTTAATCTTGACAATCCATACACATTTCAGTTTGTGATATTTGTAAATATCAAAGGCTATTATGCATCGGATAAAACTGAAGAACATAGTCCAAATTATAAGATGAAAGATACTGTTATTTCTTTACGTGTTTAAATGATTACACTTTCAAGAAGTTAGAGTATGTATAGATCTTTGTGAGTTATACTTGTAAAGTTATATTTAAGCAACAAATATATCAGTTCTAGATCAAAAACAGAAAGTAGTAACTTAGAAGCAGAAAATAATTTCCTATTGTGCAATCAAATATAGAGAATTTCGTGAATGTACATTTAGCTTTCTTTATTGTTATGTAAAATGCATGAGTAGATAATTTTGTTTTGCTGACAAGTAAGTTTAGTGACATACAAAATCCATTCTTCATTTTCAGAGTTAATGTATAGTGGACATAAAGTTTGTTTTGCTTGCAAAGTTTATTCTGTAATGATAGACAGTAAAACCAATGTTTGAGTATGTATGATACTTTACAAGCCTTTAATTACATATGATGAAGATAGCATATTAGGGTATGATGAAATACATCAATTTTAAGCTGTAGCGGAGTGGCAATGTGAGGGTCAAGCTCTAATGTTCAGAATGACGAGGTACAGTCAATTTAGTTACAGATTTCAAGTGCACGATATGTTTTGTATAGTTTTTAAAATAATGAATCTTTGATTACTTTCGAGAATGCCCCTTATGTTTCATGTATGGTGTTTTATCATAGTTGAGTAATAACATGCTAGAACAAGTATATACCACAATGATTATTACATTATTAAATTATTACATTGGGCTGTAAGTTAATTTAAACTTGTTGGATTTATAAAATGTGAAAGACGTTATCTTTTATCATCAGAAACAACAATTTAAATAATTTGTCAAGAACTTTTTTATTGTTATCACAGTTATTTTAGAGATTTGTTTGTTCTTAAAATTTTCAAAAGTAGAACACATGCACATTATATATGATAAATCTTGAATAAAGTCGTGTTTCTCTACAGTATCCCAGAAAGTTTCATTGATAGAACCTGGTAAATTTAAGTGTGTTACTCCATGATTAAACATAGATTGAACAATAAACTTACTTACTCTTGCCAATGCTGATCTCAAATATAGCCATACACATTTATCCTGAAATAACATGTTACAAGAATGAAGAAATTGACTAAGATAGTCGATTTCACACTGTTATTTCTTCAGTACTTGTAAAAGAGTGTACAGTTGTTCAGTGTGCATATATATTAATAAGATTTGATTTAATCTGTTTATCGAATTACTTTTCTTTATGAAATATAGTATTTCAGTATCAAAATGAGAAATATGTGCACATAAATACTACCATTCTGAAATTGATAAAACGAAAAGAATATTACCAGATATCATGGTAATCAAATCGATATATAAACAAAATAGAGGAGATATTATTAACACGAATTACACGATTCCGTTCTTCTAGAAGAAAATCTTGTTCAGTTTTGTTCTGTACAACTACACTAATGTTTGAAATCCACTGTTTAAATTCCTTCCATTCTGTTGAAGAAAAAGTGACACATTCCTTGGTTGGATATAGTTTTCCTTTTCCAAAATCCTTGAACTGTCGAATATGAATATTCAAATTATTCTTGTAAGTTTATAGAGTGATATAACAGACATTCACAATAGGATAGGCATGAGATGATTCAGGTGCATCTTCAAGCTGTATAATAGTAGAGGAACCTAACTGTCGTTTTTTTCTGTTTTATTGATTCTTCTTCACTGCTAGATTTTATCTTTTTCACCATTCCATTAATTTCAGCAGCATTTATTTTCTGTACAAGAGACTGAAATATAAAATTATATATAATTAGTAAATCATAGCAACATTATTTATTAATATAATGAATGTGAATGAAAATAAAAATGACTATATCAAAGAAATTATGTAACGAAGTACTTATGTTTAAAGGCTGGTAAATCATTCTTTTTTCCACGTAGTAGAACTGTATCAGTCTGATTATTAGTGGTGAAAGGGACAGGGTATTTATATTTGAAAAGTGACCCAGATTTGACTGAACTTTAGACTGTTTGTTGTAGACTGATATTAAAAATTAGGATATGTCTTAACTTGTAACCGAGCTTATCAACACTAATCGGAAACAGTTAACTCTTTCACCATTAGAGTACATACAAATATAATTTTTTGTATCGTATAATGAAATTGTAAATCTCATACATTTCACATGTTGATTATTTACTGACTTTTAAATTCAGTGACATACAAAAACTTTAGTTAAAACGAAGTGAACAATAAATGTATGTGGAAAACATGATTATTTATTGTTTGAATCATTTACCTTTCAATATTAAGTATAATATAAATACATAAACAGCAACAGTGTATTATAATTGTTTCGTTCAACTTTTGTTTTCATAAACTTTTCTTCTATAGTAAAAGGTAGACTTACTATTAGGTGTGAGCCAATAAGATTGAATTGTCATTCGATGATCATTTGCTTTCAATGATAATGACGTCAGTTAGAAATAACACACATACATTCAACTTTGTATTTCCTACTTGACATGGTGGTTTTGAACACTTATGTGATGTAAGTTACATTTCTAATGTAGAAGAAAGTTCAGTCCTCAAAGAGATATGAGAAAAATGGTAAATGTTGCTATTCTATAATAGTGATTAATAACATTTATTATGTAGAAAAATGATTTACTACAAAGTTTATTAACTAGATGTTAAAATTAAAGATAGTGAAACGACCCATTCTATGCCTTATTTCGTCTGAATACATAATAACACTGTTTAAAAACATTTTCGAAACATTTTAAAATGAGATATTTAAAATAATAATTAGACATTAGTTTATAATGAAGTATCATAAATTTCACATGTTTATGAAATTGTCATAAATTAGAATTGAACAGATCTTTCATTTTGAAAAAAAAATATTCTAAACCAACTGAAACTGTTTTAACTTCTAACCATTTGTTGGATATTATTCAGTAGACAGTATGCAATAGTTGTACGATAACTGAAATGTCATATCAAATATCGAGAAATAGAATATCGTGAATACACATTTAGTGTTTTGTATCACTATGTAAAGTGGAAGAACTATGTTTACTGACTGTTAAATTCAGTGACATATAAAAACTCTAGTTAAAGTATGGTTGACAGTAAATATATGATTATGTAGAGTTTGAACCTTTTATTTTTAATATTAATTATAAAATAAATACATAAATAGCAACAATGTATTATAATTGAATTTTTTTTTATGTGAAATATACTTGGCCAACTCAGAATTGACCTTTATCATGTATTTCAATAACCTTTTGATATCTTCCTTTTTTCTGTCTACCCTTCCAATGTGACCATGTGACGACCTAAGTATTTGTTAACAGACAAAGATTATCTAGCTTGACGTCAGTCTCTAGAATGTATGCATGTAATATTTTCCAATAGCAATTTGAATGCTTTATGAAATTTTAATATACAATGGATGAATAAACAGTAAGTCATTCATTTAATACTTTTTAGTTGTAGCAAAATGAATTATCCTCATTTAAATAATGAATAATATGTATTGTTACGTCTCCGTTCGTTAGTTAATTTTCTGTAAATTCGTTCTGACGAAACTTTAG